GAGACGGGGTTTCACCATGTTGACCAGGATGGTCTCGATCTCTTGACCTCGTGATCCACCCGCCTCGGCCTCCCAAAGTGCTGGGATTACAGGCTTGAGCCACCGCGCCCGGCCTGGCCTAGTATATTTCTTAGCTGATCTTCAATACGATGAGTAAGATTTCTTTTCCGTTTTTTCTTCCCAGATATATTCGAAGAGTTGGGAATTTTTTGAGGCAGAGTCTTTCTCTGTCACCCAGGCTGCAGTCCAGTGGCACGATCCTGGCCCACTGCAACCCCCACTTCCTGGGCTCAAATGATTCTCATGCCTCAGCCTCCTGAGTAGCTGGGATTACAGGCATGCACTACCATGCCTGGCTAATTTTTTGTATTTTTAGTAGGGGTGGGGTTTCACTATGTTGGTCAGTCTTGAACACCTGGCCTAAGGTGATCTACCTGCCTCTGCCTCCCATAGTGCTGGGATTACAGGCATGAGCCACCGTGCCCAGCCAGAATTTTTACTGAATAAATAAATACCAGTTGTCTTATTCTGTTCTATCTTAGCAGGATTCATGAGCTCGAGTGACTGTTCTCAACTTTAAAGTACAAGCTTTTTAAAATTTGAGCTTCATTTTAATTCATGTGAATTATAAATTGAGTATTCTTAACACAAAACATCATAAAAGGAAAAAGGACATTTTTGGAGGGGATGGATTTGATTGGTACCTTGTGATGTTATGGGTGTACCCTATGTTCAGACTCACCAAAATGTATGCAGGAAATAGGCAGTTTTTTATGTCTCAGTTACACTTAGTAAAGTTCAAAAATTATAAGTTAATGAACAAACTTTAATGATCTTTTTTGATAAGGAAGAATCTAAAGTTTATTTTGGATTCCTTACATAATACGAAAGCAAAATTAAGCCTTTGATAGCTTTTTATTTGGGAGAGAATGAATTTAAATGATTTCTGTTTGTCAATGACACACTAGTTCTGCATATACTGCCTGACAAAAAGTCTTGTTTTATTTATTTATTTATTTTTTGAGATGGAGTCTTGCTTTGTCACTCAGGCTGGAGTACAGTGGTGCCATCTTGGCCCACTGCAAGGTCCACCTCCCAGGTTCACGTGATTCTCCTGCCTCAGCCTCTGGAGTAGCTGGGATTACAGCACATGCCACCACACCTAGCCAGGTTTTTTTTGT